ACACACACACAAACACACACGCACACACACACAGTCAAATGAACACATGTATGAGTGATCACCAGTGGAACCCTTGCTCACTGTTGGAACACACATGTAAAAGGAGTCTATACAAACAACAATGTACAGGTATATTTCTTTCTAAAAAAAAGAATTTCATTCAAAATGGACGCATTTTTTTTATAAATATATCGATTTCATCCAAACCTATTCGACTTATTGTAAAAAAAATCATTCTTTGGGTTGATCCTTCCCAACAACCAGCTGAAATGACGAGAAGACATCTGCATAGGTTTGCACAGTTGCGTCAGACATGAGTCCAAACGCAGACAGACACTGTGCCACACTGTAAGTCGTTCACACTCGATAGAGATCTCAGGTCGAAACATAGAAGTTTAACCAATGGAGTAACAGATATGTCACGTAAGACGGAAGACGGCAACTAAGAAACCAAAGTGCCAATGAAGTATTGAAGCAACGAGAATGGAGGTAGAGCTTCTCTATTAGAGGTGAACCGGCGCAGCTCAGATGTTTGAGCACTGCAGAGGAAGTTTCTGTTCACTGACATGAAGTCCTACAGGTTATTGTAGACCGACTGATCGACTTGATTGAGAATTGATGAGCTGTAGTTCTGCCTCCATCTCAAGCTGATGTGTAAACATTTTTAACAATTTGGTCGACTAGGAAGATGATTGACATCATGAGGACAATGCCAGACTTTTCTTTGAAAAAGCATTCATGTTTAAATGTGAATTAAATTCCATGTGAACTGTAGAAGAAGGTACCAGCTGAGCCACCCACAGGTTTATTCAGATGTCAGAGATGAACATGAAGGCCTCGTGTGCGACACATTTAAATAAAAGTGCTGGTTTTCATACATTCACTTAGTTCAAGGATCCTGTGTCCCTGCTCACACTAGATTGTTTTACTTTAATAAAACATGAAACTTGATAAAGGTGATAGGAACAAACAAATCTAAAATTGGGTTTGCGTAACATGATGTGCATTATCGGTTGCATTATGGGATATGTAGGATCTCATGTTTCCCATAGAGCCTGATACTGAGGACTAAAATAGAGGATATCTCAGCCTCTGCTGCTGATTTAAAAGCTGTTGGAGTCGTGTTTCTCACCCGCCAAACAAGTTTGAGAATCAAAATCACACTTCACTCTGTTCACCAGCGGGTCACTGACTTCTGCTTAGGGCTGGAAATCTAACATACAGTGGGTTTATTGGAGCTGCCTGCTGCTGAAATCTGGGTGAAAGAGAGTGGTGAGAACACGTAGCTGTAAAATAATAAAATAAATCGCCCTGAGTCAGCTCTGCGGTACACTGGTGGCCTGTCCAGGGTGGACCCGCCTCTCGCCCCACGTCACCAGTGACTGGCTCCAGTCTCCCCACAGCCCACGAAGGTTAAGCGGTAAAGATAATGTATGGATGAGAGAAAATCAGTGGCCCCTTTCACATTTACATTAAATATAGCTCTGATCTATTGCTGATATAAAAATATTGTTTAGTGCAGTTTCAATATCTCTTTGTAGAAGTACATTTCTGGAGTGTCCCTTTCAAGTTTTCCTCATCTTTAAAGTTTGGGTCTGGGACATTAAAACATGGTAAAACTCTCTGCATGGCTGTCTTTAAAGAAAATAATGTCATTTATGTTTTATCAAATATACACTATGCGATGGTCCTGATATGTAAAGCTGTTGCTTCATGTTCCGAACATCCCCTGGACAAATGAATAAACCTGAGCGATTGCGTTGATTGGCTGCAGCTTCACCGCTCTGATCGTCGTCCTCATCTTTTCCCATAAACCCACTCTGTCCCAGGAATCCACCCGTCTTTCCCCCAGACACATAAGCCTGATCACTGGGATGCATACGATGAGAGTGAGTACATGTGTTCCCCTCTCTACAGAGTTGGCAGTGGGCTAGTAGAGATGGTCATAGGCACTACAAGGAAACCTTCCTGTTTGGAGGTAAACTTTGTGACCCTGTTCACGTCCTGTTCCGACTGATTTCTTTCTACGAGAGGGGCTTAAGCCAAAGCCTCTGGGGAATCCTGATCTCATATTTCCATCTCTCACTGTCAGCAGTCGCCAGTGAATCAGTAAGGAGAAGAGTAATGGGACAGATAAAGTGCAAAATGACCCCCCCCTCCCAAACCTCGACGTGTGCCACTGCCCGTCTTTGGCTGTGTCGTCACCCCTGCTCTTTGATGTCTCTCCCTCCTCGTCCCTCGCCGTCATCTCTCTCTGTCTGTCTGCTGCGCCCAGGGACAGTCCAACAGGTTCTCAGTTCTTCTTGAAAAAAGAGAAAAGTCTCTTGTCCTGGTCTGACATGCGGTGAGCTCGCCTGGAGGACTGACTGCTGTGGGCCTGCGACAGGGAGGATGGGGCCGAGCGCCACTCGTCCTGGTGCTTGTCCATCAGCTGCTGGTCAATCACTCTGTGCATATCATCCTGGAGACAAGGACGGAGATGTGAGTGAGAGAAAGACAGCAGAGAAATGTCACACAGAGAGGACACGTGGTGGTGGAGTTACAGAAGGGGTTGAAGACACTGGATAAATGATCATTACGTCACTATCACCATTCACTCTCTGGCGATCACTTATTGATGGTCCATATCTCTCAAACATGAGACAGCATCCTGCCTCAGTTTTCCATTATATGTGACAATAATGTCATTCTACTACTGGCCTCAGATCTGCTATGTGGGAATTTAATTAAAAACCTTAATTTAGGAAAATGTGTAAAAAGAACTGAGGATTCTGACCGACCATTATATCACATTACACCATAGAATCAAATACATGTATACAGCACTGACATCTGTAATGCTCATTCACCCAGTCAATCACAATTACACAGTGATGGCAGTGAACCGTGTCATGTAAGGTGCTGCGTCTGGAGCAGTTTGTGGTTCAGTGAAGTCAACACTGTGACTTTGCTTTCCTAGTTCACAGCTGCCCTGCAGAACTGGACATTTCATGAGGTGTTCAATGACATGATACAAAGTCCAGCTGAAGCACATTCAGCTCAGAGCTGACGGGCCCCTGAAGTTCTGAGGCCTGCATCAGTTTCCTTCCTCTTTATCGGTTAGTCAGAAATTGTTTTGTGAATCCTCAAATAGTCACAGCTGACAATGTCATTCCTGAACTTTTCACCTTGTCACCCTTTAAAATCCAGGGCACTGTTCACACCGGGTTCTAACATCTGTCCTGAGAGATCTGATAGCAACTGGTCAGCAGTAGGAACATCTGTTCACACCTGGAATTAAAATGTGTCCTGAATGTGACCACTTGTGATCCTCATTCTCCACTCTGTATGCAAATAATCACGTCCGTCATTTCTGTTAAAATGATGTTGTTTTTACCCAGTCTGGGTTTACAGGTGTGTCCGATGACAATGTTTGTGTTGGCATGAGCGATAGAGAGAGAAAGGGAGAGCAAGAGAGTAGAGTCAGGTAGAAAGAATGTGTGCAGCTATGAGGAAAGATATGATCATTAAAGAAAAGTATCTTATGTGGTGATCAGTGTTTATATTGTGGCGATGGTCACAAACAAATCACTGCATCGACCCAGAAGTGTGACAATACATTTACCCTGTAGGGAGTCAAGAGACTCAAAAGAATGAAGCCACATTTCTTCTGCTTTCCCGTCCCCATGATGACCCCTGAAAAATTGTGATCTCCGAATACTGGGAGTAATACTTAAAGGATAGAGATAGAGATAACACAACCAGGGGTTTCTGGCCAGCTGCTTGGTGCTTGGAGTAAATATATTTTATCAGTAACCGATTAGTTGTCTTTGAATGTTAACACAGCCATGAAAGTATTTGGTGTCTGTGTTGACACCTCTTAACATGAACAGTGGGATACAGGTGAGTGGAGAGAGAGGGTGGTGGGTTTGGATGGTTCTCTGTGGGATGGTTAATGGTTTCAGAGAGACAGGGAAGCTGGGATGAGCATTTCTCCAGTCGGAGTCAGTTAACCGTGGCATGGAATGGCTCAGCGCGGCGAGGGTGAATCGGCGAGATGGCGCGGCTCGGGCTCACCTCTAAGGCAGGAGGAGGGGGTGGGGGGTACCACAGGGGAGAGAGGGTGGTACGGAAGCTGAGAAAGGCCACTAGATCAGAAACCACAAGAGCCAAACAGTAAAGAGCCCTGAGGAGGCAAACTGTGGGCAGGGAGAAGAGAGAGAGAGGAAAGAGCTGCCAGTTAGGGACGAGGAGGGGGAGGGAGGACACGCACACACACACACACATGCGCACACACCCACACACACACACACACACCCTCACGGCCAACCCACTTACATACACTCAGAGGTTAATTGTGAGGTTTAATGTATGTGCACAGATTGTGTTAAAATATAATGACACTAAACACAAGTGACAGGGAAGAGAAGGAAAAATGGAGAGAAACTGTTCCAGTAATATTATATTATAGTCTGCTTTTCACAATTAGATGAACATAATCCATTCAGGAACCACATCTACAGAGCAGAGTTCTTTATGTTACTACCTTAATAAAGCTGTACTTTAATATGTCAGGACTGTTATAGGCTTTTACTGATAAACTCGCTCGTGACCTTTGACCCACCTGCCAGGCCTCCAGCTGCTGCGACAGGTTGAGCTTCTGCTGGATGGCGTCCAGGAGTTGACTATTTAGAGACATGATGTCTATTTTACATTTGGCCAGCTCCATCTCCACTGCTTTCTTTCTGCAAGACACACACACACACACACACAGACGCTAGAGGTATCTCAAAAAGCATGAAAGCCTGTGTGTGAGGAACTCCTTCACATAGAGATGAATTTAGAACAACTCTAATAAAGAGCGGATTGACCCTTTGTTCCAATATTAAACCACTTAGATGTGTCTATGTTAATATCAACTTAATATAAGACCAGAGCTCCACCTGTCAGTGCCTCTAATACTGATTAACATTATTACTTATTATGGCTCTAGCTTAATATTAAAACCCATCAGAAAGAACTCAAATAAGCTCATTTGTCAAAGTGTCCTTAGTCTTAATCTATTTAATGTCTGTGTTGAAGTGATGTGCAGAACATTTAAAGAGTAATTCCACTTCATTGCATTATGGGTCTTGTTTTTAAACTTTGGCTATTTGGTTATTTGTTTATTTGTTAGGATCTCCATTAGCTGTGCACTAAAGAAGAGCTACTTTTCCTGTGGTCTACAATTAACAATATATTTCTACATTTCAATCATACATCTAAAGACACATGAAACTTTTCAGTCTATTCAAATGAGCATAAATATTGCAGTTTTCACAGATGTAAAAATAAAAACATAATAATAAATACAATCAATATTCTTATGAACAAAAACTTGTGTTAATACCACAGACTGTATTTAAAGAGGTTATACATGTTACATTTTCTAACAAAAACTTCTTATGCTTGCCATCCTCCCAAAATATAGTAAATGATAAATGGTCTGTATTTATAAAGTGGCTTTTCTAATGTTGATGACCACTCAAAGCACTTTACACCCATTCACACACACATCCATACAGTGCTACAGAAATAGATTATTATAATAATTATATACATATGCAATATCAATCACACTTTCTATCTGCTACGCCACACCTTCTTTCAATACGTTTCTTATTTGCTTTTGAAACATTTCTTCATAAATGTAGTTCTCGTATGTGGATACGAAAACCTTGTAACTGAAAAGTCATTGCTGTGACCTCTGCAGAGATATTGCAAAAGTCTGACAGGGCAAGTTTGAGGAAGTCAGAGCGCTCCGGATTAGCTGGAAATTGTGTGCACACAACTACACAACTACAGTAAGTGCAGGAGGTCATCCAGTTAAATTTTCTCTTCCAAATAAGATGATTCATTTGACTTCCTTTCCTGTCTTGCATCTTTAGGGATGTGAAATCAGCACTTGGTGTATACAGTGTTATTGTTACATCCAAAAATGCATAAAAATTATGTAATAAACTGCAATTGTCCTATAAACATTTCTTGAACTGATGGTAGTTTATAAAGTAGTTTTATTATATTATATTATATTATATTATATTATAGGCCATATATATTACAATAGAAATCTATTCTATTCTATTTTATTATCATTATTACTGCATCAGTGATGTGATCTTACTTGGCTATGGCGTCGTCTCTGTCTCTGATAGCACTCTGGAGCTGCTCGCTGGGTTCTCGCACTTCAGCCATCACCCTGATCCGCTCGTTGTCCTCCCTGAGAGAGCACATCTCTACAGAGAGAAGCGCCATCTGCAGGTCACATGGAAGAGAGCATCAAACAGAGCCGTGAGACGCAGGCAGGATAAAGACTTTAATGGCAAATTTATACAGCGGGCTGCTCATGTGTGAGATGTTGAGTTGACCCACTTCAACGGGACAATAAGTGAACTGAGTATGAGTGTGTGTGTGTGTGTGTGTGTTTGTATAAGATGGCATATAAAACCCACAGCAGGGAGTGAGCTCTCCTTGTAGAAACGAAACGAGGTTGAAACGACGTCCTACATTACAAACAACATACATCAAATTCACATTGGCTCAGGAACTGGTGAGAACCGCATCTGCACCTCTGGGTCATGTTATTCTTACACATCAGCATTTGTTAATTCATTGTTATTCCACAAAGAAAGATTGGATGTGACGTTGAAGTAATGAGGCCTGTCTGACACTTCCATACGAGCAGCAGAGCCTCGGTGTGAAGGATATTCCCTTCAAAACAGGGAAAGCTTGACATGTACATCAACATGTCCATATATGATGAGTGTACACATGTGTACAGATGTACAGACGCTCGTACCTGATTGTGCAGCTGCAGCAGCTCCCCTTCACTGCTGCGTGTTTTGTCCTGCTCCGCCTCGTGCAGCTCTCTGACCTCCCTCAGCTCTTCTCCCAGCTTCCTCACCTGCTCCTCCAGAGCCTCCTCATCGCTGCGCCGCGAGCCCTTTCAACACGACACACACTCACTGTCAATGTACTGCTACTGGCCATTCTGTGGCTCATTAACGTGTGTCTCTAAAATAGGCAGTATCCTGTTAAAACATTATTAGTCCATTATTAGCAGATACTCAACCCCACGTTTCCCCTGACGGAAGTGATATATGACAGAGAAAGTGCTGCACATAGATGCACTGTATGAATGTGTGTGTGAATGGCAAAAGAACCAGACAAACTGTCTTATAAAGCGCTTTAAGTCTAAAAAGACTAGAAGAAATATTCTTCACTGCCAGTTTCGTAAACTCAACACAGCCATGTAGCTTCTAATGTCATCATTTCCCTTCAAGGAGACGGGGTTTGTTTTATTGTTTTCAGATGGGTAAAAAAGTCTGTTATTAAAGTTTTACCTTAGAAGCTAATTTCCTGCTGTTGTTCTGTATGTGAAATTCTGCTCGGTAAACAGATAGCTGCTATTTGTCGTGGTGTAAACATGAACATAAATATATCCAGAGATAAATAGCAAAAGCAATAGAGAAGCTACAGGATCTCAGGTCAGTGAAAAATAAAAGTGTGTAAGTTATTGACAGACTTTAATTTTGTTATGGCTCAACAATGTCGCCATTTAAAACATTGTATTAGCTGCAGGAAACAAAAGAAGGAAAATATATACAACCATAAGAAAACCTGATCACTGTGTTCTGCTTCATGTCATCTGTGAAAAGCTTAATTCTAAGCCCCTAATAGCTTCTATATCGTTTTCTGGCTCTTTCTCAAACACTCATTACACGAGTGGGTGCTTACTACACTGTCTCATACCATTGATTGTGTTTGCACTAGTCATACCAAACTACATAGTTCTTCCAACAAATGAATAGGAAACCTCTTATTTTGTGAGATGTCATTGCTCCAGAGCTGCCGAGCTGCCAGTGAGTTGTTCATTACCGTGGACTCATTGCCATCCAGCAGGTTCTGTGTCAGCCTCCGCAGCTCCAGAAGGCCGGTGTGGAGGCTGCCAGTAGGCACATCCTTGGCAGAGGACGTCTCCGAGGACTCGTCCATGGAAGAATCGGTGGACAGCGCAGAGTCGGTGATGTCGTTTCCCCGGAGATGGGAGCAGAGTGAGCGGACCTCGCAGTAGGCCTCCCACAGCTGGAGACGCAACTGGACAAGTTGGAGGAGGGGATATTTAGATATTAGTTTCACAACCGCCTGGTGCTCGCAGCAGGATGAAATATATGATTATAATAATTACAGACAAGAAAACAAATGGTTCAAATACAGAGGGAAGTTCATAATTAGTAACAGTAATAATAATGATAATGATAAAAGAACAATAATAGCCTGGCAGCCCAAGTAAATGCAGGAATATGCTATCTGAAAAAGTAGGGTTTTTAGTTTTTTTCTCAGGCAATTTATTCAAGAACCTTGGAGCCCTGTTGGCAAACACTCTGCACCCCCCCTTAAGTTTTCAGCCTAGATTCAGGAAGTGACAGCAGACCTTTGCCCAATGATAGCAAACTGCGCAGAGGTAAATAGGGAATTAAAAGATCAGAGATAGAGCATGGGTAAGTAATAAATACACATTTTAAATCACACATTTTGAACAGGGAGCCAATGTGCCCATCGTACTGGGTTAAAACCAGAGAACGGGCTGTTGTAGGAATCAAGGCACAAGGTTACAAGGCATGAGTGATTGTTTCTGCATCTCTAAAATAAGAAAAGATAAGACAACTTTTATGATATGGTGCTCAAAGGATAGGTGACAGTCAAACAAAACGCAGAGATTAAAAACAACAAATAAAGAGTGGACTCAACAAAACATCATCCAAAAGTCATGGTGGTAATTACCTGCTCCCTCTCTTGCTCCTGCTCCTCCTGCTCCATGCTCTGTTCTATCTCACACAGCAGGCTGGATGGGTGTGGGGTGAGGCTGTGGAGGCTGTGCTCCTCTGACAGCTCCTCCAGCCGAGAGGTCAGCTGCCTGTGGGACACCTGAACCTCCTGGAGCTCCAGCTGGCTCTGCCGCAACTGGACACAACCAAGAAGGCAAAACTTTAAAGGTGCAAAGTGTGAATATCTGGTTCTGAGAGCAGAGCTGACTAATCTTAAAGATATTTTTTCTGTCCAAGTAGATTTTTAGTAGGTGCTGTCAAAGATCTAACCGTCCTTCATGTCTCCATACCTGTAGGTCCTTCTCCTGACACTGCTTCTCCAACACCAGCGTCCTCTCTCTGAAGTCGTCCACTGTGCTCTGCAGCAGCTCGTTCTCCTCCAGCATGATGTGCACTCGGCGCTCCAGCTCCATCTTCCTCTCGGACAGCATCTTAATCTAACATGTCAAACAGCACAGCTGAGTTACTACGCCCCGGGTAATAGATATTAACTGGTGAAATGAAGGACTGTTCAGATTTCCTGGTCGATAGCGGACAGTTGGGCAGCTGCCGGCCTGATTGAAAGCTGCATTTTGTTGTTGTTCTGACTTTGAGGGAAGCAGGGCTCTTACACGAGATTAAAAAGTACTCCCACTGGTCTAAAGAATGCTTGTTGCCTAGCATGGGCGTAGGCGTTAGTTACCACCCTCGTCTTCAGGAATGTTTTGGCGATATAGCGTCTCTACTATCAGCTTACTATTTACCATGGCTATATAATACAACAGCCTTCTAGGCTAACCTCGCAGCAGCACAACTTCTTCCACATGAATTGTTTCTCTCTTTAGCAGCAGGAGCAGCTTTCCCCATTAAACAAATATCAGTTCTTGCTCATTTTTATCCCTCCTGCATTTGACCTACATCTGGTAACCTACTTCACAGAACAGGAGCTTACATGTGGATCGGTTTTTTGAGTTCCCACATTTGCCAACTTCTGGATATTTTTAGGCTGCTATAGTCACCGTCTTTACAGAAACGTGGGGGGGAGAAGCCATTAGTCATCAGCATATGTGATATAAAGGCAAAGCGATGGAGATGTGGGAGCACCCAGACATTGCAGTATCTCAGCCAAATATAGAGCAGTAGCCTCTCCTTCCAATTATAGCACAGGCTCTGCAGTCTGGGTGTTTTCTGCCTCTCTTTGAAGAGAAGCTACAGAGGAAATCTCAGCTGTTTTTATGTTCTGACAGTATCAATGTTTATAACACGACCGGCTGATATACATGAGCATGACTGACATCACAACACATCTCGTGCTCTGATTAGCAAGCATGTTTTTCATGCTCCATCTCAGGAAACATGGATTGCTGTAAGGATGTGGAGATGCAAATTAAGGGTTGCAGATATATAGATATACATACATATATATAGATAGATACATAGAATATATAGAGAGATAAATTCTCTTTTGGCTTCTATTCCCTGTGACAACATAAGAGATTAGAAGCAATTGTAATTTCGGAACGGAAAAATAACGGTGCAATCCATGTTTCTGTTATTTCACAAGACGCTGCATGCAGCATGCCGACAGACAGCGCTCGGCAACCACTCACTTCTAGCCCTTGCTGCTCCGACCAAGTGGGGAGGAGTGTGAGGGAAGGAGGAACGAGTGAGGAGAGACATAAAGATTACAGAAAGAGGACAACAACAAGTTTAAGAGAACGTGCCCAGAAGCAATTCCAGTAGCATGACAGGAGAAAGGTGTACACCACCTCTCTTGACACAGAACTAATGACACAGAAGTTTAATCCCCAGTGATCTGCTGTCAAATTAAGCACCAAGGCTTCCTGCTGAGAGCCAGTAACTGCAAGCATGCAACATTATTTCACTTTTTTTTTTAAAAGCATAGCTGAACTTTTTGGTTCTGTTTAGCTCTTGGATGATGTGCACTCTGAAAGGAATAATAGAAAAAAGCTACAGATGGTGGCTCACCTCAGCCTGTAGAGTCTCTAGTCGTGTCATGTGTTGTCTGGTAGACATGCTCTTCTCCCTGAAGTCGTCACGTAATGAATGGACCTGAGTGGACAGCTGCTTCTCCACCTCTGCAGCCTGGACACACAGATTTAGAGGAAAGTTTAAAAAAGAAACACAATCGACGCAGCATAGACAAACATCTTTTTATGCTCTTCATGCTTTCACCTTTCATTATCGTTTGACAGAGCCTGTTGCCTACATTACCCACAATGCAAAGAGAAGCAGACTGCCACTCCTGGAGTGGAAATTTATCAACCTTGACATGACTCCACCAAAAAAACCTTCACACAATGTTTGGTTGCACTTTATTTTACAGCGCACTAATAAGATGTAAGAAGTCCAACTTTATATGAAATTACACAAAACTGTAATTTCTTCATTTGACAGTAAATAAAAGCTGTTGTATCCTAATAAGATGTAACAAGATGCATCAAATAAGACATTACAAGAAATAATATGTTCTTCATTACATATTAAACAAACAAGGTTGTCCCTAGTAAGGACTGTCATCAGAACATTTAATGCTGTGTCACTATCCAAAAAAAACAGTAGCTACAAATGCCGCTGCCAGGACACTGCATTGTATCCCACTGTTACATCCTTATAAGACTTTATTAGAATGTTATTAGCAACACATTACTTCAGACTGTTTTCACAACTTACTTCACCTACAATATGATGCAGCAGACCTAAACTTCATTGTGTTGAAACAGTGGAGTTTTAACATGTTGCTAAAGTTATGTGCATTAACACGCTGGTATTCAGGACATGTATCACTGACTAGTTTTGTTTTCCCTAAATGATACATTTGATATGCGTTCCTCGGAAAGCACATTTTCCCCAAATGTCACAGCCCTTTTCGGAAGCCTTCAGTGGTCCACAGCTCATTGTTTTTGCTCTCTGCAGCACACTCACAGTTGAGCTTATATTGTCCAGGTGGGAACAGACTATTCAGTGCCAGGCTGGGCTTCATTAGCATGGAGCTGCACTCAGGAAGCCCCTGCTCGCATTATCATCACTGCCATGGCAACAGCAAAATCCTAAAAATGACTCACTTTTTACAGCTCAGTGAGGAGACTAAACATGGTTTCTATAAATCCAAAAACAAAACTTAAATCAAGGAGCTGTTCAGTTTGATTTATTTTTTAAGTTTTCAGTTATGTCTTTTTAACCCCAGTGTGCGTCAATATGAATTACAGCCTCTAGGTGGCACTACACACTGCAGCAGCCTTCCAACAGGCTCACAGAGATTTGTAGAGGCTCAACAGCTGGTCATGTACATGAGTTTACTTCAGTTCACTCCAGTCCTCAGGTAACTCTGGTGTGAGTCTGTGTCAGTGACCTGCTGGGAGGACAAGCTGCCAGGACGCCTCTGCCTCAGCTCCATCGTTGTGGGGCTCCGCTCTGCACAGTAACTCACAGGATGGAAGCAGTGCAACTACTCTGCTTTGACCCTGAGGGAAATGTGTCTTATAATATACAAGCCTTACACCCAAGTCTTATGTAACAAAAAAAGGGAAATTGTAGATGGAGTATTGTAAAAAATGTGTGTCACACAATGTAAACATAAAATGCATTATGGGATATTTCAAAGAACTGAGCTGTGATATACCTGAGGAGATAAGGGAGAAACAGTCACAAGCTGATCCTCCCGGCGAGAGGCCACAGTGTATTGTTCAGAAAACTTGTTTGATTAAAAAGTTGATCACATTTAATATTTTGTCCAAAGTTCATCATTTAAACGACACAAGATGACATTGTTCTGCGATCCCTTTAAGGATAAGTGAATGGATGGATTTTTAAATATAATATATGCCTGAGTGCCCTATGACAACTGTTTTACGTTGTTTTGTGCTACCGCCACATGTTGTTTCTACCCCCACCCTCAATAAAAAAGTATTACACACATTTGAAGAATTATTTTCAGCTCTAGTTTGTCTCAGGCTTAAATCACCTTGTTGTATTACTGTCAGCTCATGTCTATGAGTCAGTGGGTGTTCAGCTACAGTGTCCAGATGAGGGCTTCTATGTGACAGCTGCACAATTCTGTGTCTGCTCAACAGATGTGCAGTCAGTGGAGGCCAGCTCAGACAGTTCACAGCGCTCACATGACATGTGACCCACTGGCCAACAAGCTGACAGACTGAGATCATATAAAAAAACTGCCTGATTTGCAGTGAGGAAATCTGCATGTAAATTCCTCAGCTATCCCAGATCAAGTGTTATCAGCACGACCGTAATAGAGCAGAGGCAAATCAGACTGTGGCGACAGAATCCTCAGCAGAGATGCTTTCGTTTACAGCCTCTTTACTCTGACATTCACCTGAGTAAATACATTCAGTTTACAGGAGGAATAAGAGGAGAGCCGAGACTTGAAAAGTAGACTTCACTCCTGTTGATTCAGGAACAGGCGACCTGTGGCTGTGGAACATGATCCATCAGATATGAATGAAGGTGCTTTAAGGGTCTTTGGTGGCGCAACCTGGCATCAAACTATCTGGATCCCCTGTACATTCCCATGGTAATAACACATGGCATTTCTGATTTGCATGTCACTCTGGTTGTCATAGCAACCAAGAAGACGTGGGATTGGCCAAGCTGCGACTTGTAGTCTCGATGCTTCTGGTATTTTCCTTTGTCGCTTTCACAGAGCGCTGCCTTGTCTAGACTTACGGAGGATGGGCAACCCTGCTTTCAAGTGGTTGCGTAACAAATCCTGCGTGTGACAACGCGCACCAGTCACGGAGCTGATCCTGACAGCAACCGTTACCTGGGGCTGATGGGAGGTAGAGGATGATAGCTGGGCAGATACTCATGATCACCACTGCGTAGAGGTGGCAAAGGAAGGAGTGAAACTAGGAAGCTACATTTCTACTTACAATATTCACATTACACTTTGCTTGCTATATTATTGCTGATGACACGGCAACAACAAATTATTGCTCCTCTACAGCCTTGAATAAAGTCGAGGTTTAAGGGGAGAGGATGTCGCTACACCTTGTTAAGTGGTGCCAATTGTGATTTGTGCATATGGGCTACACAAATACAATCTGATAAACGTATTGAATTGAACCACTTTCATGAGTCACATGAGGCTGCTGTCACATTTAAATCACATGGAGGTTGAGAGAAGTGGAATCTACTGTGACCATGAAGCACGCAGACACTCCTGCCTGAGTCAGTGCAGCTTCAGCCCTCTGTGAGCATGTGTGGTGAGGTAATTAGACAAAGGTCCTTTTCCTTCTGCTTCACTCTGACCAGATTAGACCTGAGGAGACTGGCTGTACTCACACACCTGAATATCATATGTAGTTTGATGACCAGTGTACACATACACATACACACACACACACACACACACACACACACACGCACGCACGCACGCGCGCGCGCACGCACGCACGCACGCACGCACACACACACACACACACACACACACACACACACACACACCTCAGAATAACCACAGGAAGTGTACATGTCTGCTGAGGAAAAGATTAAATTTCTTAGGTCCTCTTTACCTAAATATCTAAGTTACCTGCTGTTATTAATTAAGTAAAGTATGCGCTGGAGTTGTTTTGGTCTGGGCTGAATGCATATGGCAAGGCTATTAGCACGGATTATAGCCTAATCCCCTCAGCGCTGCATTTTAGCCCATGACTTACATCACTTCCTATGGAGCGCCCTGCCTCCTCAAGGTCGTGCCACTGCAGCCAATAGAAGGCTCTGTTAATAAGTTAGGAGGGTCATGAGCTGTTTTTATTCATCTAATTTCTGGCTGAAAGGTTTGCTTTAGAAATCTAAAATGAATAGACAAAAAGCTCTTCAGTTAATACATATGATAGGAATTTGAAATTAACAGAGGAGTAAATTCGTAAATGTATTTCCTTTAGGTCTGCAATGACGATTATAAGGTTTGCTATAACCAAGATTTATTTATATTTATATGTATCAATAAATACATTTAAAAATGAAATTTCTCCACTGACTTCATCCTATGTTTCTCTTATACTTTTAATTACTTAAAATTGATTTTTATTATTCATTGTGTAATAAGTATTTGTGTATTCAATATTGCTGTATTGACATCTATAAAAAAAACTATTACTCTGCATCTCCTGTTATGTGTTATTGTTAACCTGGTGGCAGTGGATGTGCTTGATCTGTCAGTTTGGAGCCTGGTCCTCAACAGATGTGTCTTTTGTTCAGTCACCACTCTGTGACATGGGATTTTCTGCAGGCATGACAAGGGACTGCAATAAGAAGCTCATGTGATGGACAGAGGAACATAAGCTATTTCATAGTTTTGACAGGAAGCCACATACAGGCCGATTGATCTGTTCCAATGAGGGCAATAACTAAAGAAATTAGGCAGATATAAATAGTGCACGCACGGTTTCCTCAGTTTCACATTCTCTCTATTCACTCAGAGCTGTAAATGGTTAACATTACTCAGTCACCACCCATCGCTTAGTAATGAGCCCAGAGAGGGAGAGAGAGAGAGCAATAAGAAAGCAATTTAGACATAGAGAAAGGGGATAAAAAAAGAGAGAAGGGGGGGCACCGTGGCTGACCTCATTTATTTTATTACACAGCAGGTTTCCCTCTGTCTGCCCAACACACTGAATCATAAGATCTGGATCGATGGAGTCAATTAGGTCTCATGAATTTCACTGAGTCACAAAGGCCACCAGATATTCTCTGCGCCCAAAACACAACACAGACCACTTTCAGGGAAATATCTGTAAAAAAACCTCCCACCCCCAGGTTTCAATCAAAAGAAATGCACTTTAATTATGCTAAGTGTCTGCTCTTTACTGCAATCCATGTCAACTGACTTGTCCAGCACAAATTCCTGATTGCAATGTGATGATTGTATTGGAGCAAGATTGAGCAGGAGGCTGCTTTAATCTGATTGAAAGAAAAGGAGAACTGCTCTACACAGCAGTGAACCACACACCACCACACAGATCCTTCTCCTCCCTGAGCAGCATGTTCCCAGCAGCAGATCACAGCTTCTCCCAGGAGGGACAACATGCACGTGTGAGCGTTGCCATGGACATCCGTAATGACGGGGGTTATCAAAGTACCTGCACAGGCTTGTCAACCTTTGCGTATAGAGCTCTGGGCATCCTGACATCCCTATAGCAGCTAACAACACTGTCAGGCCTCTGTTTACAGCCTCTGAGTTGATGCTGTATAATGATCTTAAAGGAGTTTAGGCTTTATATCCCTCTGACAGGCTAGGTAGCATGACGCCATCCTGCTGTTGGTGAAAAGCAAGCTCACCCACGTGACATAATAGTTGTTAAGCACAGTTTTGGGAAATGTGATCATCATTCAGTTCTGCTTTGACAAGACATGATTGGGAATGAAGCCACCATCAGGAAACAAAGCGTGTGCACATGAACAAAAACACTCTTATGTACATTGTATCCATTCGAAATATCAAGAAATGAATTAGTAATTAAGTATGGATTATTTTTTGCAAATCCAGGATTGCTGATGCAGCCACATTATGGATTTTGGATCTTGGAGGCAGCTAAACGTGGATTATCATTACAACTGAATTGCTTAGATATACAATATTCCTACTCGCATACACTACCATTACTGGTGATACCTTTATCATTAGTCATCACTACTCTCTCCATCTCTGTTTTGGACATTTTCTTTTGTACAAATACTTAGACACTGTCTTTTCTCATCAATGTTGTAAATAATTATTTTTGTTGATGTGACATCTATTACACTTCTGTCCATCCTGGGAGAAGGCTCACTCCCTGGATGTCACACCTTTCAGCCCTATGAGGCAGACTGTGATTTGTGATTATGGGCTATACAAATAAAATGTGATTGATTAATGGATACTCTGTATGGATAAGGGATCTTTGTTTTGGTGTAGATTGAGCAGATTGATGCGTTTCAGCTCCTCAGCAAAGAGTTAATCAGGAGCAGCTACAAACGCTAGCACTCTCAGCTCCATCAATCCGCATCTACTGTCAGTCTCAGTTCATCCTGATGTGTGTGTATAAAGAGTAAAGCTTCTGTACATTGTGTCAGAGTAAATACAGCTTCAAGTCGTCATGCCAACCTTAAGAACCGTTATATGTACAGCCTGTCTCTGTATGTATCTTAGATATCTGTCAATCAATCCATTTTCTCTCTCCTGTCTCATCTCCTATAACACCTTTTTTACTCTGCAATCAAATCACCTGTCATTGTGCATAGTGCTATTGCATAAGTGTGCAGTCCAATCATTCTAAATTATTCAACATAAGACCCTGGAAGCTATGCTGTTATATTGATGAGTTAGCATAATTCAGGTGAAGTTCGAGAGAGAAAAAGATGAGCTGAATGAAGGTAGAGCCCCAGTCTCCCCTCGGGGGAAGATGATTCTTGATGAATCTTCAGTTGGCTGAGCACCTTATATAATGTCAGCCAGGCAGACATGAACTGGACAGAGTGGCCTCAAGGCCAGGCCAAACACACACACACACATACAAAGACACATTGGCATTTGCCTGAAAAATGTTTCTTGGTGGGGTGCAGGGATCTTTAAAGCACGATTAAAAATTGTGAAGCACTGACCCGAAGCCCAAGCTAATAACATTTTCCATGCAGATAGACCCAATTCTTATGAAGCAGTAAATGTGAAGCAGACATGGCCCCCCCCCCCCACACACACACACACATACACTGCTCACCCTACTGAGTTGCTCCAGCAGTCTGTGGTTCTGTTCGGAGAGCTCACTGATGGCCTTGGTCTTGTCCCTGTCAGCCTCTCTCAGCTGGACCTGGTGGAGTTCCAGCTCGCCCTGCAGCTGCTGGACATCCGTCTCCAGCTCGGCTACGCGACCCTCCCACTCCCCTTCTCGATTCTCAAGGCGCCGACGTAACTCGTGCTTCTCCTGCTCCAAGTGCTGCATGTGATAGGATGAGGGGGATATGGTTAAAACTTTGATTTGCTCAGATTTGATTTACAATATTGCCCTAATTTCACACAAAATAAAAACCAAGTGGAATTATTGAGGTTTAGACTATCAGAGAGTCTGGTGCTTTCACAGACAGAGAAAGTTGTGATCAACCTTTGGAAAAAATTCACTAGAGGAAAAAACTTGAGACTTGATTCCACTGGGGGTACTGATGATGTACAGAGGTGCTACAACTATGAATTTATCATTAACATGACAACATATGATACTGACAGTGAAGACAGCTTGAAGTTTAGTTTTTAAAAAAGTTCAAAAGAGCGACAATAACTGCAACTCTGATTAAAAAAAATGCAAGCACAAATTGATTCTGCAATCAGAGAAAGAGTTTAGGGATTTTAAAACTGAACCAATCTCTTGTGTTCCCTGTCTCCTGGAGTGACAGTTAAGATAATATCAGCTTCTAGTCTCTAGATGGCAATGAGCAGATGCACTGCACGGCCAGTGGCTGTCAGTTTGGGTGTGAGTAGTTATTATGTTTAAGTCCAGGGCTGGAGCAGCTGGCATCTGTGTGGCCACTGTTTTCATCTCATGGGTGAATGCCCAAAACAAAAGGAGGGATCACAGGGATTCAAAACAAGACAACAAAACAACATCAACCGCACTTAGAGCTGGGAACTGTAACAACATCAATAATAACAAGCAGCAGCTTATTTCCCTGAGCTGCAAACCCAGGATGAATATGGATCAAAAGGCTGAACAGATGTACAGTTGAAACAAGTGAAGGCCCTGGACAGGATTAGTCTTTGTGGTTTCTCAGGCCACGCTTTGGGCTTGTGTGAAGGATTTTGAAAACAACGGCTCAGCTTCACAGTATGAAATAACTCAGACTGTCCTACACCTTTTCTTAGCTTGGCTGATGCTCACTAAAATGACAGAAACACTGAGCTTCACTTCTTTCTTTAGGTCAGAGTGACCTGCACGGTTCAATAAGGCTCATTCTGCAGCTTATAGCACATTAGATACAATAATACACAGCCATGGAAAAGGGGAATCAAGCTACATGACTTTGAGTCTGAGTCTCCACACTCTGCATTTGTTATGACCCTGTTGAGTTTGTTTACATTGCGATGGTCCAAAGTTGGCTCTAGGATTATGGCATTTTGAGGCCACACCAGAAAGAGGCTTATGGCAGCATTAAAACTACAGCGAGAGATATTTCCCGTCTAAGTTTACCTCTAATTTCTCGTTGAGATCTTTGTGCATTTTCTCATATTGCTTGGTCAGGTCTTGGTTTCTCTCCAGCAGTGCTTTGCCGAGTTTAGCAGCTAAAACCAAGTCTTTCTCCTTCTGGCGGAAGAGCGACAGTAGGTCTGCGTTGTGCCCCACGACAGGCGTCTCTATGTCCGGGAGCTCCTCCTCGTCGTCCCGCTCCCCGGTGAGCATGGCCAGTTCCTCCTCCAAGGCCATACCGAGGCCTCCAGAGCCGGCGTGCCGCAGCGGGTGACCCTGGAAGCCGCCGGAATCCTGAGCGGCGGCGCCGGCACGGGGCTCCATGCAGTCGCTGTCCAGCTCCAGTGGTGCTGAACCCGCGGCAGACGTCTGCAGGTCGAGGCAGGAAGCGGAGGAGAAGCCAACGGATAAGAGCCGACGGATTTCACTCCGGGTGAACCCACCCTGCTCTGACTGGGCTGGGCTGACCGGGCCGGCTCGTTATCGACCATCCATCCATCATCCTCCAAATTCAGAGCTACTCTTCCCAGTTTCCTCACGTCCCTCTCTGCTGGTTCACCCACCAGTCGCGACTCTGACTCGGCTTGAATCCCAGCAGTCTCCGCCTCGTCCGCGGCTCGCTGTCTGTGTACGATCGGACACGCAGGCTGCTATTATCCGGGTATGAAGCGCCTGGAGGAGCTGCGCGCTGCGGTAGGTCGGTCAGGGTCCACCCCGTCTCGGGGTCCCGGCTCCCCCATAATGATGACTGGCCTTTTACACCGGAGGCTTTTGCCAGTCAAACAGATGAGCGCGATCCCGATGCCTTCTCAACCTCTTTCCCTTTTGAGTGCGCGTTCCCGCCACGGTAGTGACGCCAGCTGCAACCTGTTACAACCCGCGCGCCCATTGGCTGAAAACCATAGCGCCATATTTTGGTGGCTCTCACACAAGTGAGTAAACCTCCATCAGTGAACACGTGAAGAGATAAGAACACACTGGCAGCGGCCATTAGAAACCATGATGGACCTGTGACGACTTCACAATCAGCATTAACTAGGGATTCTACACTAAGCTATCATGATGATGTTATTGATAGGCTTTGATCATTGATATTAAATATATTAGAGTCAAACTAGAAGCCTGCTTCTATTATAAAGTTACACAAACATGATAGGTGAAAATAATTTGACAGGAGTGTAACAGTCACATTTACTCACAAATCAGTTTCCATATTTCCCATCAATGAGCGTAGTATATATATATAACACAGTTATCACCCTGTTTTCAAACTGTCCGCCATGAAGCATCTGAGGAAGAGCCATCCAGGTTCTGTATTTTTTGTTGTATGTGAGATTTTGTAACTGGTTGTGTATATATTTTATGACAGAATGGAATTAGATGATTCCAAACATGTAATATTACTAACCAAGAGTAATTTAGATTTGCACTGTAGCTGTTCACATCCATGGCAGCTGTACACGACTATATGAAGTGAAATGTTACATTGGCCTCAGCTGTGATTTATGCATCCTCTTCTGCTGTTGATCAGCCCTACATCCTACAGCTCCTGTCTAATTTGCTCATGGTTATCATTTATTTTAAAGGAATTTTCTTCCACTGTTCTTTTCAAAAGATTGAGGTGGTATTAACTTGTCCAAAAGGCTAAGCTATTAAATGATCAAAACTGGAATCAGTAAAGAACCTTTTGCGATCTGAACCTTACTCACAAACACTTTTAGTTCACAGGATGTGACGTGGATGGCAAAATGTTGCTAAGTCATGTGTGTGTTAGTATCATAATTTGTACTTATTTTTGGCATACTGTTGGCATTAGTGAAGAGTTGCAATCAGTATTAGGCTTAGGGCAGTTAAGGTCCCCTCAGATATAATCATATGTGTGTATTTGTGTGTATGGCTGGGGGGGTGAAGGGGGTAGGGATCAGGTTGGGGCGGAGCATTGGTGATGAATGATTACAAACAAAGCCTCTTGAGCTGATAAAGTGGAGGGACAAAAGAAGTGGGTCACAGCTTGCTAGTCCACTGTTGCCTAGCTCCTGAGGGGGCACACAGTAAATAATGGGTGATTTCCTCAGTGCACATCAAACGTCACCGCTAAGCTAAAGGAATTAATCAACCCACATTATCCTTATTAATGCTGATGGTGTTTTGTTGATGGCAGGTTCATCAAAAAGACAACATCTGTGCTATGAAAAGAGATACATGCTGTCTGACGGTCGGATCAGTCAGTGCAGTGTCTTTTCTTTAAACATATATTACAAACAATATTTGTGATTGTAGAGGTCGTGTTGCAACAGCAGAAATAAACAGATAACAACCATTTTTTGTCATATAGGAAAATAATCTGATAATTGCATGAAGTTACACTTCAACAAAATACACATCAGTCTTTAACTACACTCAAGGTTCTGTTTGGATGATGATAAACATTACACTTTATTGATCATTATTACTGTGGCGCCCTCTGTGGAAAAAATATGATACTACATCCACATAGTCAAAACGATTGGTAATCAGCAGTCTTACACTGCACTGCTTTAAATGACTGCACAGATCAGAGCTGAAAAACTAATTTGCTGTGTGTCAACACTCATAGGAGGGTCACTCAGTTATATCATGAATGGTTGGCAATTTTTTGGGGTGTAGCGTAGTAGAGTTGTTTACAGCCAATCACAAGGACAACGCTCCCCGAGAGAACATTAGTCGCTGTTTTTCTCTGACGGATTTTCAACAACATCAAAAGCATTGTTTGTGCCAGTGACAGCATTTCTTCCTTCCATTTCCACATTGTTTGGTGGCAGTCGTGTTATTTTATGAAATAATTAAAACATCATAAATTCCGCTAGACAGTGAATTATACTGACTCTTTGCAGTCAGTATCTAGAGCATCTCCCCAGTACTGTGTGTTCTGTGCTTATGTAACATCAACTCTTAGTCATACAGGCCTGACTCTGCCTTTTTTTCAACTAATGCAAGATTTGGATGCTTATTATGTAACAAGTGTAACTGGCTTTTCAAACCTCTAGATTGCAGCGTTTCTCTCTGTTAGTCCTAACCTTATAACCACACGCTGAAGATATGAACATGAAGCAATTTCAATGTTTTGCCAGGAGGTGGTAGTATTTTATACTAGTACTTGTGATTGACATAGACAGCTCGTGAAAACATGCTGAAGAGGTTTCCCTCTGATCATGTTGTTTTCCCATGTTGATAGTTTCTGCCATTGCTCTGTTTACCAGCCACCATTTTTAGTGTAGTAGGTTACTTGCTATTTTATTTGCAGGGAATTGGTTTTCAAACATCAACAGATTTTAGCTCGAAAACTGAAAAAGATCTGAGTTGTCATCCAAATCTTAGGTGATTCAGAAGTAATCAGTACTGTGCATTACAGTGACATCCCAGTAAAACACCCAGTCTGAAGGATTGGAATTTTCCGTCTTTACTTCAGAATTAAGCTGGGATTGGCCTTGGAGACATACAGTACCTTGTTGCTAGGTAACATCAGTATGATGCCTCTGCCTGAATCACAGAGGAAACGCAACCCTTTTTCATACCGATGTTACTAAATCATAATTATAAAGCATTTTGTTTGCTGCTTTTTTAACATAAATGAATCATGACTTTCAATGTAACAAGAGAATATGACAGGTCTATTTTTTACCTTTGCATTTACTGTAAACACTCAGTTCCATTGTACAGTAGCTGCAAAGGTTTAAAAAAGTGTTTGCTTAAAGCAAAGTTCTAGCAACATCTTGTATTATGTAATGGTATAAGCTAAAATGGGTTCTATTTATAAACTATTACTCATTTTTCCTCAACTATAACTAAGGATAAGAAGGAAAAGTTCTTCACACTCATTCTGTGGTTCTCTGCTGCACAGATATAAAGTTGCACAAACTGTTTGTGGCAGGTGATGACCTCATCCTGGGTCTATGTAGGGGAGTTATTAGGTTATAGTTTGTCCAGACAAACAGATTACAGTAACAGATCATCTTGACTGAATCAAAGACATCTGAGGCAGCTGAGCTCAGAAATGTCACTGAGTCATTGGATTAGATCAGTTCCTCACCATTGGGAGGAACACGTGAAGACGGAGGTGAGATGGTGGAGGTGTGAACTCCAGGCTAGTATGTGGGAGTGCTTACCTGCCCTTAATAAAAAAACAACATTTGTTTGTTGCACAACTAAGCCAAGAATTTCACATGTCCTCATTAGTACTACAGTCATAACATCTAATTAACGCTTGTACATGAATGTACAGTAACATGCTTTCACCCTCTGAGCATTTTGTCCCCGCTGTAGTATTGCTTGCCAGGTTAGGTTCTGCCATCTGCTCAGTGTGTGCGTGTGTGTGTGTGCGTGTGTGTGTGTGTGTGTGCGTGCGTGTGTGTGTGTGTGTGTGTGTGTGTATGTGTGTTCAATACTGGGGACCTTGTGACACTCTCGTTAAATAATATTTCAGAATGCTCTGTAATTTCTATTACAGGACGTCCAGTCAGGTGTGGATGAGGTGTATGTGGAATGTTTGGTTTAAAGGTTTAAGATATATTGTTAGAAAGCTCCTGTTGAGTCTTGCTAAACTTAATCTGAGAGTAAAGTGAATACAGGTATAACCCTTAAATCATTTTTAAGAAACAATTTCAAATAAAACTAAATGTAACTTTTATTATTTTAAAAAATGTTTTCATGATCTCTGTAAATAGGATGATTGATGAATTTGTATTGTTAGAACTCTGACATGCAATATATACAAGTGTTGTTTTTGCATTGCTATGAAATGTAGTTAATAAAGTAAATAGTGCTATATTTAACTTTTCAAGCAGATTTATTCAAAATCATGACTTCTTTGAATAACAAATTAAACATATTGCATTTGGTTTCTTTTATCAAACCACAACCTCCATCTTCCTTTCATCCTCTCATTCTTGTGTATTTGCAGATGAAAGCAGAGTTTGCTGTAATCACATCCTTGTCCTGCCAGTTCTTAGATTGCAATGCTGCTATTGATTTAGAGGAGGTTTAGGAGGGGTCATTCTGTTAAGTTACTAACGAGCTGCACAATTTAAGAAGTCTTCAGTAACTGATATGAACGTACAGTAGTTTGCAACTGCTAGGACCTGACTATAAACGCAGTGTGTCAAACTGCATATATTAGTGCGATTAGTGGCGGCTGCTGCAGTATTGGGAGAGGAAGAAATCGTTGGGGGTTGTGAGCGGTTGACAGAGAAGAGAGAGAGAGAGAGAGAGAGAGAGAGAGTGCGAGCTTCCTCCAGTATGTGATCCCCGATCTGCTGCATTACTCTACAATGCAATTTCTGTGTAGTCCTCCGCTCCCTCCCTCTCTCCTCCGCTCCATCTCTCTGTGAGCTGTAATCTCCAGTTGCTCTAGCTGTCTTGCAGCTCTCTGCCCTGCCACAGTGCATCTCTCCCTCTCTCTCTCTCTCTCTCTCTCTCTCTCTCTCTCCCTCTCTCTCAGCTTCACTTTTTCCCCAGTGAGGATGACATCCCCGAATGTGATGAACCAGCGCAGCTCTCATTCTGACTGGTGGCTTCCGAGGGAGACCCCACATGAACGGGCTTACTGGACGAGGAGGTGCCGCATCTAAGGAGCTTGGTAGAAGACCTGTCAGCTGTAGCAGTGTCTGAGTAAGTGCCGTACTATTTTACTGAGTCCATCAGAGATAAGGCAGGGGTTGAGGGCGATGACTTTGGTCAGGGATAGAATGAAAACAGTGTCTCTGCTTTAAGGCTCAGAACTGCTACATAGCTGTGTTATGTACTGTATCTCAGCATGTTGGAGCCATTGCCCTGATTTACTGATTGACTGACACTACTGCTGAGGATTTATGGAGTGATGAGATAGCATTGGTAGCAGTGAGCGTATGCAGCAGCTGTATCTTGTAACAGGATTGAGCGCTATTCTTGGTCACGACACTGAAATACTGTGTCTTTGTTTTCCCTTTTCTCTTCATTGACATGCTTACTGTGGCATACACTCACACAGATGGCTATTGCTCCCTGCGGTGGTGTTCGAACTCCCCACTGTTTACGTATGATGTGAATTTGAGTGAGACCACTGCACACTTTTATTCAGATACCTAATTAATCTATGCCAAGACAGAGGAAGTTTTAGGACAAAGTTTAACTGTAAGGATTGCACAGAAGATCGCTAACTCACTTTAATGTTCCAGTCAAGAAAGGTGCTATAGTATTTGGGAGTGAGGTTCAGTGCAGGAGCAAAGCTGAAAGTCAGTCGGTAAAAGTATAACAAGCTGGAGGCTGGAAGAAAGGAGGGGATTGCTATGGTAACAGCAGGCTTTGAGTGTAGAGGTAAGGTGAGGGAAACTTGCTGCTTGTCTTGGTGCCCATTCAGCTTGATCATACTGACAGGACAAACAAAACAAAACAGAACGTTGACAAGGAAAGTAGGAGAGGGACTGAGGAGATTTAAGATATGTATAAACAGACGATATTCTCAGTAAACACTAAATGCAATGGTATTGTGTATGGATTATTTCATGTAAAGTATGCTTTGTAAGTTGCCATGTAGACTCTATTTTATAGGAAATATGGTTAAAAGTTTCAGACTGTGCAGTCTCATCATGTGCCTATTCTAATCTGCTGTTACCTTTTTGTGGAGGCAGACCACATTGAAGGTGGATGGTACAGAGTGAATGCAGAACAGATCTGTCAGTGTTAATAAGAGTATGTGATGGGAAGCGCTCTGCTGCTCTATATCCTCAAGTGTCATTTCCCCCAAGAGCCTCCTTCTGAAGCCCACACTGATCCTCTCTGTCATTTGTGATATAATGACAGACTGAGATTTTTAAACACACTCCCAAATGCTCACCATACTTCTAGAGATTGTGATATCCAGTCGACTCGGCCACCATAAAAGGGTAATGCAACAGTGGCAGGGCGTTCACGTAGCATTCTAAAGTATCTAGAGTTGGTTGCCACAGTGATAAGTGAAAGTGCTTTTACTGCCATATGTAATCAAGCTTGTTATGTAGGACAACAGTGTTTTCATTAGAGAATTAGTCATTAAAAAGTATTTGTGGCTTGAGTTAATTGGGTGCACTCCACTCACAAAAGTCATACTGGAAACTAAAATCATTTGAAAATATCAACACGTCTTCCAGCAACTGAGAACTGCAGGCTTAGAAGTGCATGTTTTTACCCTTTTTAATAGTTTCAGGATGAATTTGTTTCCTTTAATAACTGTTACTACTATTAATAAGTTATTTCTGACCAGTGTTTCTGCATTCCTTTGAGTGGGCTGGTGCATTTGTTTTCAGGCGTCAAGGATGAGAATCTCCAGTTACCTCAGCCAAGGTGGTTATGTTTTCACCTTTCTATTTGTTTGATGGTTTGTTTGTTTGCTTGTAAGCAAGATTACACAAAACTACTGGACAGATTACCATGAAACTTGGTGGAAGAATGTGATATGGGAAGTGCCGCAAAAAACTTTTGTTGTAGATTCAGATCAGGGGCCAGATCCAGGAATCACTTTCGTTAACATTGTGAGTTGGCGTTGTTCAATATATGTACTGATTTCCCAGGGAATCATTCATGGATCTAATACTGAGCCACTGATATCTATGAGTGTGCAAAATTTGGTGGAGCATGATTGAATTGAAGGGGTCTGTTGGGCCTTGGTGGAGGTAGGCGCTCAACTGAGTGCTATTCTAGTCATACTTATGTGTCAACTGTGCATACACTCATCCAAGTACTTTAAAAACGTAACCTAATTGTACTGACCGATGCAGATACACTAATATGAATACTAATCCTTTAATGCACTTCCAAATGTGTATGGTGTCATACATTCACACAAATTGTATTGGTCCAGATTAACTAAAAGATCAAACTCTTTGGGAGTAGAAGGGAGAAGGTTTGTGTCTTTAGAGAAGAATCTGTGCCACTTCAGAGTAGCAACAGGTCGGTGAATAACTGCTACCTATAGACCATACAGTAAAACTGTCCCATGGTCACCCTGCAGACTGAATGAAGAGCAACACAATGACTGGGATGCAACCTCTCTCCGCTCTCATCCTCTTCAACAACTCTGACTCACAGCCCAGCACACATTATTCAACCCACGAAAAAGACCTCCATAACAGAGTTGGAGGCCATTATTCCTCTGTTAATATTACTGTCCTGTTGTTTGTGAGCTCTTGTACACAAGCAGTGTTTGTAGAGCATTTCTGATTTCAGGTACGCTAATTATATTGTTTTGTATTGAT